CTCATCATTCTCAAAACATTTGCTCTCCACCCAAGCCCCTGGCATCAGCTTCTCATTTCCCCCCCTTCGTCTCTGTTCCCCCCTCCCTCATGAACCCTTGATAATTTATAAATTATTATGTCATATCTTACACTGTCCGACGTCTCCCTTCATCCACTTTACTGTTGTCCATCCCCCAGGGAGGAGGTTATATGTAGATCCTTATAATCGGTTCCCCCTTTCCATTCCACCCTCCCTCCACTCTTTGCATTCTTTTAGAAAATCAATGGATCATAAATGTAAAGGTTTATTTCTGGACTCTCAATTCTACTCCACTTATATAGGGTCACTATAAATTAAATAGGCTTGATAGCAGAGTTGGTCTCGTTATATATCCAACCTGACACCAATACCAATACCAAGACAATGTCCTTGTGGCTGGAGCTTGGTATTAAAATTGAGCCTTAGGCAGTCTAAATCTTCTAAACTTCATTTCTTTTAAAATGCTTCTTTGATGCTCTAAGGTAGCTTGAATTACCATTTGAAACTTAAAATTCAGCTTGTTAAGTATTGCAAAAAAGACAGTTGGGACTTTGATAAAGGTTGAACTGTTTGTAGATCAATTTGTTGTGTTGACTTAACAATATTGAGTCTTCTGATTCATTAATGTGGCATAACTTTCATGTATTTAGGTCTTCAATTTTTAGAATACTTTCTAAGTTTCAGAGTGTAAGCTTTATGCTTCTGCTAAGTTTGTGTTTTAGCCTTTTTGAACTGTTACAAATGAAATTATCTCAATCTAATTTTTAGATTGCTAATTGTTCCTGTATAGAAATGCAACTTAATAAATTGTATGCATTACACACACAAAAATGCAACTTACCAATCTATTGCATTGGGCAAATCTGCTGTAAAAGCCTTCTTTAAAGTGTTGGAGCGGTAGAATGTTCCAGTGCGACTAGGCGGTTGGGGCGGAGGGGCTGAGGCTGTCTGAGGGCGGTGGAGCTTCGCCGGTTGGGGGTGGGGTTGTATGCTGGGCGTGGTAGAAGCCGGAAGGCTCTCGGAGGAATTAGTCACTGGGACTACTGTCTTTTAGGATCAGTAAGATTTGGATCCACAGATGGTAATGAGTTGAGTTGGGAGCTCTTAAACTTGGAGTTTCTGGGCTGCTTTTTGTCAGGTTGCCCTTTTCCTGTAATTTGGACTCTGAACTTTTTTTGTGTGTGGTGATTGCACAAGTCTTTTTAATATGATTAAATCATTGAATTGTATGATATATGGATTATATGTCAATAAAAATGTTAAAAATAAAAAATAAAAAAATAAAGTGTTAGAGCAAAACTATCCCTAACTCAAACCATAGCATTTTCAATTGCCACCTATGCACATGAACCTGAACCATGGTTAAGGAAGACCAGAGAATCATGCTTTTGAATCGGCGACGAATATTGCACATACCCTGGACTGCCAGAAAAACGAATCTATTTTGGAAGAACTACAGCCATAATGCTCCTCCATCTCTCATACTTTTGATCTGTTCTCAGGATCAGTCCTTGGAGAAGAGCATCAAGCTTGGTAAAGTCTAGAAGTGGAGAAAGCGAGGGAAATTCTCAATAAGGTGGAAAAAAGACACGGGGGCTGCCACAATGGGCTCAAAAACAAGCAGCAATTGTGGGATGGTCCAGGCTGGGCACTTTCATTCTGCTCTTCATGGGTTCTCTAAGTTGGAGGTAACTCAACGGCACCAAACAACAAGCATGAGGAACTGCAAGTTAAGGACCCGATCAGATAGCATTACCCACCTAATAAAACGACAGGTGTAAAATAGGTCACCACAAGTTACTGGTAAGGTGAAGGGCGAGGCAAGGTAAAGCGAAGGGCAACCGAGTGTCAGCTGTGTTGGTGATAGCAAACCCATTGCCATTGAGTCAATTCCAACTCAGATTGACTTTATAGAGCAGGGATTTTCCCCGTAGCGTTTCTAAGCCTGAGTCTTGACAGAAGCAGACTGCTTCGTCTTTTTCTCCTGGTGTGCATCGTAGGCCCTTCAGGCCAGCAGCCTGGTGCTCTGGCCACTGAACTTTTAGGTCACTTATTGATGGAGTGGCTACAAGAACATTTACCAAAGTCCAAGTATCGGAGTGACTACAGAAGAACTGGACTGTTGCTGGTGGGGGGTAAAATAGTACAGTCACCCTAGAAAATAATTTGGTAGTTTCTTAGAAAGTTAAATACATACCAATGACCCAGCATTTATACATCTGAGCATCTCAACCTTCTTAATGCCGCAACCCTTTCATACAGTTCCTCATGTGGTGGTGACCCCCCACAACCATAAAATTATTTTCGTTGCTACTTCTTAACTGTAATTTTGCTACTGTTATGAATCGGGCAAACGCTGTGAAAGGGTCATTCGACCCCCAAAGGGGTCGCGACTCACAGGTTGAGAACCGCTGCTTTAGAGGAATGAAAATGTCCACATACCCTGTACTCAAATTTCAACTCACTTTTATTTATAACAATAAGATCCTGGAAACAATGCAAGTCTCCTTGAAGAGTGAACCGATGAAACGCAATCCTGTTCGTTTACTGCCTTCAGGCATGTAACCCACACATGCATGCAATGAGCTTTCCTCAGAGGGAGCTGACACGCAAGGGTTCAGAGCAGCTGGCAAAACTGTATGATGTACACATTTTGTGTAGAAATACGGTTCTATTTCGTGACGCGGAACAATTATTCACCAACTTATGTGAATCATTACGAAGTTTAGTGAGTGATGAATACACAAATCAAAAAACCTTCCATACCATGTAATTTCATTGTTACCAAAGTGTAAAAATGACAAAATGTCCTGTCACAGAACAGAAGGGGGTTGCCAGGGTGTAAAAAATGGCACGGTAGAGACATCTGACCTCTTCTCGCTTCATGAAAGGGAGGGAGAATTATCATCAGCCTCATCTCAAAACTACTTACTGCCCACAAAGTGAATGTCTATCAGATGTGTCCTTTCTCGCCAAACTTTTTCCACGTGTGTGATCATCTGTCCCTCCCATGGCATGCTCCGCTTCTTTGATGGTTTTGATAATTCACTGTCATCATCATACAACTGAGTCAACATTCATGAACATGGGACTTAATAGGGACATAAACAGGTTACAATTCAGGAGCAAAAAGGTTCAGGATACAGTTCTTTGGTCAGGATACTCTCGGCCATGCCGCATCACAGGCTTGCTTCTCTCGGATCCTCAAGCCCTTGGCTCTTGGTCACTTGACTTGGGCCTCTAGGGCTGTTTTGCTGTCTTCCCAGCTCAGGGAAGTGTTTCAAAGTTCTTTAGCTACACCAGTAAGTGCCCAGAGGCACTCCACTCTGCCAGCAAGCCTTCTGCATAAAGGTACTTGCTCTCTCATTTCTGAGTTGGTAAACCTAGCTACATTGACCCATGGCTGGAGGATCGCTCTCCACCAACTAGCCTTTTGCTTGGACAGTCAAGTGTCTTGCTCTAGAGGCACTCCACCGCCAGTAAGCCTCCTTCCTGAAGGTGCTCAGCTTTCTGATTCCATGGGCCTTCCCAGGAAGCCCAGTGGTGTCACGTGTTGGCTCCTGGTTCTGCTGCCTCTGATCTCTGGGGTTACTATGCTCAATAGGTTCCTACTGTAGGGATTCCTTATCCACAGGATGTGGCCACTCCTTTCTCTTCTTGGTGATGCTGTCTCTCCTGTGTTCAGGGTACCTCCATTTAAGTCTAGCAGGATGGTAAAACTGACCAATTCCATCCACAGGGCTCCATATACTTTATTTGCATGTCCACCCTCCCCCCCCATAGGCCTTATTAACATGGGCAATAAGTCATCCAATTCCCTTAGCAGACCACAAACTCCACATTTGAATAGCCCTACCAAGTCAGTGGCTAGGTGCTACAAACACTGCCTAGAAGGGCCATATTAAGGAACCCACTGCACTGCAGAACACCTCTCTGCTCTTCTAGCATGGGCCCTTTCATACTTTTAGGAATAAACCCCCCCCCCCCAGTAATTTTGCCAGGACAAAATAGTTATTGACAATGAATTCTTTCATTAGGGCACTGCATGGGAAATTATGTACCGTATTTGTATTAGCAGCAAGTAACCCAATCTTCTTGGCAAGTCACAAATATCACAACTGCATAGTCCCACTGAGGCATTCGGTAGGAGATATAGATTGTGGCTAGAAGGGCCATATATGTAACTCATGGCATGACACAAAAGGTAAGACTTGGAGAGAGGGTATGATCTTAAAAACGTTAGCTTGGGAGAGTCTGTGTTGAAAGTTTTACAATGTGACTATAGTGGTGGTTACAGGAATGTAGAAATGTAAACCTTAGAATCAGTTATTTTATGTAAAAAATAGCGACAACATCAAATAATGAGTAGTATCTTGCCCATGTAATTTCCTGGTTTTGACTATGAAGTATGACCATACTGTTTTCACTGGTGGAGGGAACTAGGAAAGTCTCTGGACTCTTATTGCAATTTCTTGCCATCTTTAAGCAATCTCAAATTAAGTTCTGTGAAAAGTTGTTTGAAATTTCCAGAAATGCTTACTAGGCTTTTAGTATGACCAAAGATGTTGTATTTAGGGAAACATTCAGTATTCAGTGGTGGGAAGGAAGGGAAAAGGGGAGAGTTTTTGGTTAAGTGAATGGAGTAATTTGGATAGTTGAGAAGGGTAGTAAAATGGCACATGTAGAAATTATTGAATTGGTGAATTGCTGGGTATAATCTCACATTAAAAAATGTTTCCTAAAAAAAAAAAAATGCTTCCTTTGGGGGGTGGGGCAAGTGTTCTAAAATTGATTGCGGTAATGATTGTACAACTAATCTTGATGTGCTGGAACGACTGAACTGTGTGTTATGTGGATTAAACACCAATAAAACAGTTTTTGTTTTTTTTTTTGTTTCCTTTCTTAAGCACTCAGAAGCTAAAACTCACAATGAAATACAGTCCAAGAGACAGGAAGATGAAACATAACACATGAGATGGTCATCAGGTACTCCTACATTATATGTAAAAATTCAAATGAGTGGAGAGGACAGTAAGGCGGGCTTTCAACATTATAGACAATGGCAAGGCAACCAAGAATAAAGTTCAAGGTATCCAGCCTGAAATGCACATCAGGTATTATTGGTTAGACGAGGTTATATTTGGAATAAAAAGCACAGAAAAACATTCATTTTAACTAGCCTGCGGTCATCTTCATGAGTTCTGTGACTTCGGATATTTCACTAATAGGGCTCTATATTTAGCACATTCATCAATTTTATTTCCCTATTTTGTGATAAAAGATGCAACAAAATATATTACCAAAATACTGCCGTAGTCATTGTCATTTTCAAATTTTCTTCCAGTGTGAACTCCGACAGTTACTAACATTTTATTTTTTAAGAACTTGCCCAGAATGGTCATTATATTAGTATCAGCTAGAAGTTCAATGATAATCTATGGTAACAACAAAATAGATCTACATAGTCTATAGGGCTGACTTCAGTATAAATATGCACTCGAGGAACAGACAATTGTCTGAAGGCATTTCCACATTAAATGTTCCATTTATTTCTCAATGTCTTTCGCTGACAGAAAATGTGAAGTAATGATCACTAAAGGCACTACCACATTCACTGCATTGAACAAGTTTTGCTTCCAGCCATTTTCTTCAGTTACCTCAGGGTGTACATCTCGCATGACATTATGCGGACTCACACTGATTATATTTTAGTCCTCTCAGAGTTACTGATGTTTCCAGAGGGCTAAATTGCCACAGAGACCTTTCCCACAGTTCCTATAGTCACTGTTTTTTCTCCCTTCTACATGAGATCATGTTTATGTAATGAGCTGACTTTCTAAGAAAGAACTTTCTTCTTGACTAAACTCACCCATTTCTTGGGTGTGCATTTTCTTGTGTTTAACCAGGTTTGATAAGTGGGAGAAAGCCTTCTCACAATCGCTGCATCTGTATGGCCTCTCTCCTGTATGAGTTCTTTGATGTACATTGAGAACTGACTTGGTGGTGAAAGCTTTCCCACACTCACTGCACTCAAATGGTTTCTCTCCTGTGTGAATTCTCTGATGGGTAATCAGACCGTATTTGTGGCAGTAGGATTTTCCACACTCCGTACATACAAATGGAGTGTTGCCTGTATGGCACCGCTCATGTTGTATGAGGCTTATCTTCTGGCTGAAGGCTTTACCACATGCATTGCATTCGTAGGGTTTCTCTCCAGTGTGAGTCCGTTGGTGTATAACAAGAGTGAGTTTTGTGGTGAAGGCTTTTCCACACTCATTGCATATATAGGATTTCTCTCCAGTATGAGTTCGTTGATGTATAATGAGAGTGCGTTTCACAGTGAAGGCTTTTCCACATTCATTGCATATGTAAGCCTTTTCTCCTGTATGAGATCGCTCATGTACGACAAGATTGCTCTTCACCGTAAAGCCTCTTCCACATTTATTGCATATATAGGGTCTCTCTCCTGTATGAGTGCGTTGATGTACAACCAGGTAGCGCTTCATGGTGAAGGCTTTTCCACATACATTGCATCCAAAAGGTTTCTCCCCTGTATGAGTTCGCTGATGAACAATGAGGTTACTCTTCACAGTGAAGTTTTTCCCACATTCATTACATACATAGGGCTTCTCGCCAGAATGCGTGCGCAGATGCGCCATAAGATAGCGCCTCATTGTGAAACCTTTGCCACACTGGCCGCAAATATAGGGTTTTTCAACCATATGGGTTTGCTGCTGGACGGTGAGGCTGTTCTTCACAGTGGACCCTTTTCTATAGTCAATGATACTATAGGGTTTCTCTGCTGTATGAGTTTTCTGATGCGGGATGAACATGAAAATTCTCGAAGATTTGCCATAGTGACTATATCCATGGAGTTCCCCTCCTGTATAATTGTTCCCATGGTGAATGAGTTGAGACCTCCTGAAGTAGTCTTGGCCACACTGAACATATGCCTGGGCTTGCTCTATTTTATGAATTCTCTGCTGTTTAAAGACTTGGGGATGAGTGATGATGAATTTTGAAGTGTCAGGGGATTTAATGTTATCATAATATTGTTCATGTTTTCCATGCAGGATTTTTCTAGCACCATTAAACTCGGCAGGATTCTTGATTTCCAATCTTCTGTTCTGGTTGACTACACTTGAATTGGAGTTCAAAGTTTTCCTATAGAAACCAAACATATCATGATTTTGCATGAGGGGGAAATGGGTCTTGCTCAGGAAAATGATATTTCCCAATGCATTCTTTCCATGGCCTGGCTCCATTCGTTCGAGAAAGCTGTGGTGCTGAAAGTGCTCTTTCAGATGACTGTCAAATCTGTTGATTTCTAGGAAAGACAACAACATATTGTTCCATGAGAGTAGTATAAAACAAAAGTGCATGAAAAATGACTTGGTGATTTAAGAAGAGATAAGGGATTTCATTTCTTCTGAGTCTCTAGAGGGAAATAGTCTCACATGGAGAGGAGGAAACGTAGAAGAGCTGTTTCAGGGACCCCCCTCCCCCATTCCCCACCCCTGGGCACCCTCAGTTTTGTCAAGCCATCTTTGAATTGCTAAAGTACATCTTATAAGGACACTTCTCAAGGAGGCTCTCACCTGGGCGGTTTATATGATGGATTTCATCTCCTATTATCCATGGCTCTTCTCCTTGTTCCAGCTTGGAGAGTGTATCTGGTTTGCTTCCCTGATACCCTGGTTTGTGAGAAACGATAAGATGCTTAGTCACACTGAATTGGAGCAGTGTATGGCAAGACAGGAGGTAGAGGGTCACAACAATTTCTCCTGTGCAAAGTCACATCTTTGCTTTCAGAATGGAAGAGACCATACACAGCTACTGGGAGGACGAGGAATGACTAGAAAGCTAGCACTTGAAAAGCCCAGTGACGGCACATCTCCTGAGTGACACAGGCGAGCTACTCTTACCCACTGACAACAGGTTGTTATAGTTCTCTACTATCACATCCTGATACAGCTTCTTCTGAGCGGGGTCCAGGAGCTGCCACTCCTCCCAGGTGAAGTTCACAGCCACATCCTCCAAGGTTAACATTTTCTATAATAACACAGTCATGTTTAATGGGATGTCCATTTCTTATCATGGTATGGAACATATGTGAAAGAAATCATTCTGGTAATTTCACTATATAGTCTGCTGCCAAGATGTTTGTCAAATGTTTTTTTTTTAATTTCCAATTTATCTTAAAAAAATCATTTTATTAGGGGCTCATACAATTCTTATCACAATCCACAAATATGTTTTTCATACATTTTGGTAGAGGCAAATCTTTGCTCTCTGTGCATTGATTTATATATATTCACCTACTTGCCAAGTACTACAGCATATGGTGAGCATCCATGGGCAGCACGCACATTTTTAGGCTTAGCTACTAAAGGAAAACCTGTCTGTCAGAATCTACCCAGACGTACATCAGAAGAAATGGCTGGTGACCTACGTCCACATGGTCACAATTATTGAAAACTTTATGGGGTATAGTTCTTTTTTTTTTGGAGGGGGGGGAGGAATACAGTTATGAATTTATTAGACTGAAATTGGCTTTTTAAACACATGGTAATGACATCAACACAAATAAAATATACTTATGTGGGAAACTAACACTGAGGGAACTATGACGATGACTATATTCCTTAACTTATCACAGAGGGACTCTGGAAAGCTGGTTTTCCACTGTAGGCAAGCCTCCACTTTGGTAAGTTAGAGGTAAAGTCCAAGTACATGATCCTGCTTTAAATATCATTCCCACAGATTCTCCCCTAACAGCTATGCTGTCTTTTTTTTGGGTTTTGTTTTTAACAGCTATGCTGTCTTAAAGTGAGCACATGGTGGATTCTATCTCCCTACAGAAATAGAAATCCTTTTCTTTTCCTGCCGTGTCACCCAGCTCCCTCATACCTACCCCCCCACCCCCCAATGCAGGTATTAGGTTTCCTCACCTGTGAGCTCAGGGACCTTACTGTAGATACCACCCATCTTGTGATGCATGTAACCACTGAATATGCACGTCTTATAGCTACCTATAAATGTCCCAAGATAATTAAGGGGCTCTCTTCTCCCAGTTCCAGGTGGACTGCCAAGAGGTGCTTAGGAGAGCATGTTACCATAAAATGTGTCTGACTCCTTTATTTTATTGTCTCTCATGACTTTACTAAAATCTTTATATATTTTCTCCGTACAATTGCTCCTCCTGACCCTTTAGTTGTTGGAGGCAGGTTTTCTCTGACATACCTGTATCGCCCAAAGACTTCACCATTAAAATAAAAAGCAATCATAAACTCCACATCCTGAAATGACAATATATGAAGTGATCTGAATAAATTTAAAGTAATAAAAGGAACTATGCAATTAGTATTGATTAGGCATATTTAGGTTAAAAACAGTCAACTTTCTAATAGAAAATAATATATCTATATCCATCTATTTATCTATATACACACACACACAATCACTCACACATATTAACAAGATCTTACAGACACTAAAGAGATAATTAGTGACCTGGAAAAAAAATATGAGGAAATTACAGAAAGTGCAGGACAAAGAAAAAATGAAGTGGTTAATAAAATATGAAGAACAGAATCAGAGGTCTAATGCATGTTCACTTAAAACATTTGAAAGATACCAAGGGCTCAAGTAGAAAGCAAATGTTTTTGAGAACGATGAGGGTAACAAATGTACAAATGTGCTTGACATAATGCATGGATATATGGCTTGTGATAAGAGTTGTACGATCCCCCAATAAAATGATTAAAAAACAAAACAAAAAACATTTGAAAGAGCCGGCAGACACTCAAATGACTTAGCAGAGCTTTGCAAATGTGAATTGCTTGTGGCCCACCAAGGGGTTGGGATAGCTTTCTAATAATGCGAATAATTTACATGATACTCTTGTGGGTATGACCACGGAAATACGATATGTGGAATATTATTATGAGGACTGGTCAGCTTGGCCATCCTGCTAGGTTTAAAATGAGAAACTCTAGAGGAAGAAAGAAGATAACAAAAATCACCTGGGCTTTAATCATGTTCTTTGGTGGTCAGGAAACTGCAAGGAAATTAATTCTACCCCCCTCCCCCCTTATGCCATGAAGTTCTTATAATCAGTGTGCTGTCCGGTTAAAACGGCTAATGACGACAACCAAGTCTCCGACCCTCTCTCCACTTGATCAGTCTTGCTCCTGGGAAATCAGCACCTGCGGGGAGAGCACATTGACTTTGAGACACATTCCAAAGACTGCCACAGTTTGTGTACTTCTCCTTAAATAAAAGACCCCAATATTTCTGTCTCTTTATTTGGTGCCCTGGAGTGATCATTTGATACCCTACTCAATAAAACAATATTCTAGATGCATAAAGGTATGTGTTCTGTGACACTGAAGTAGCAGAACCATGAAAGGGAGGGTGGGCAAAGAGAAGTAGCACAGCGTGATGCTCCAGAGGCAGGACGAAGTGTAATCAGGGTCTGTGAGCTAAGCATAGTCCACCCTTTGCTTGTCACCAGCTCATTTCCATTTGCTAAATCATTCTTATGTAACTCCTGCTGGTGTACCTTTACAAGTCCAGAGTCGGGGTATTTAACCATTACTTTTCACTACAGCTGTAAGGTGCCCACCTCTCACTGTGGAGCATGGGAGATTGCCTTGTGTGGTAGCTACATAATCTGGTGTAAGCTTGA